CTTTATCTGACGGATCTTTGACATCTGTGTCCTGGAGAAAACATAAATGGTTGTTTAAGATATACGATTTACATCCTACACAAATGTATTCACCACAACGATGAAATTCAGAATTACATTTCTTTCTGTCAATAATAACAAAACAATTCTTGCACTGGTAAAATTTTATCACATGAAGATTTCGTTTGTCTACCATTCATTGATTTATGTCGATTGTAACATTCTGCAGATTTACAAATTCTGTTACAATCAGAACAGACAACACTTTGACCTTTCAGACCTTCATTACTATAACAAACCTCACAGTACTCTTAACAAGTTTAGTAATATCTTCTATGCCCCCTGGTCCTTCTGGAATATTAACCAAAGAATGTAGGTCTTTAGCCATGTGAGTCAGTAGTGGTCGTCACTGATCATTAATACTAATATATTTTGGATCTTTTCTGAGAGATGCTTAGGTTATTACTATTGCTTTAGCACAGCAAAGCTTGTCATTGCTATTTATAGTAATAACTGATCTTTACTCAAATCGGCCAAGGCTGATATTTGTTAATTTGCATCTGGCAGTACCTACTAGTGATTCTTATGTTGTCACTTCAATTTTAAATGAGTCATTTAGGGGGTATATCTTTTTTATTTTGGTTTACTTTTTCTACTGAAGATAAAATCATTTCAGGTGTGAAAATATCCTTATTTTGTAAGCATGTGCTTATCAGTTTATCCAAATGATCTGAATAAACACATACTATTACTTTGTCTCTACTGTCCAGATGTTTTGTTGCATGATCCAGTATGTTTTCAATGTTAGTATTGAAAGTGTCCAAAATATTTGAGTTCGTGTGTTTTAGGATTAAAAGAAATACTGTAAGTAGTAGAAGCGGCGTTATACTTTTTAACTCTTCTACTCGCAGACTTTCTAATGGTAAATTATCTGTCTTCCTTGTGAAGACGTTTAGCAGATACCTGTAAAAGACAGAGAGTATTACAAAAATGTATTTTCAAAGGAAAATGATATCAGATATGTGGATTATATATAAGTTTTGAAAACTTACTTCTCCTTCCACGCCAGACGATCTCTTGGTACCTCGGGAAGTTTGATTATCTTCATCAGTATGTGTCTGTAAAATAAAGAAGTAAATGAAATTGTATAAAAATTCGTAGTAATCAATATAAATGATGTGAAAACAGCTTACAATAGTAGAGCTTCAGTCTCTTCAACAGATAGAGACCACGGAAAAAAACAAATTCCGCCTAATTGTTGGCACGCATTTCTCTCTAATTCTTTCAGATCTTCACTGTTGATCGATAGTGAGACCATTTCCTACATAAATATACGTTATCTGTGACAGTACTTATTCAGTTTAACAAAATTTGTTTCATATAGTTCAGAAATATATTCAAAATAGGTCCGCAACAGTATTTGTTTCATTTAGTTTAGAAATATGTTAAAAAATCATACTGAGATCAATAGAGTTGTCCATGGATATCACTAGTAGAACTATAAGATATAGTATTAGCATGAATGTTGAATTCAAAGTGAATGTAGTCTGTTTGACAGCTGTTTATATATGGTCAAGCTACCCGTTTTGGCTTGGAATTGCGAATAGACTTTGTCAACTCAGAAGTGACCTTTGTCATACGTGTCAATGCCCTGTTCTGTGTAGCGTTATGTCTGGGTTCACTGTTTCAAAAACATTATATTTACTATAATATTTCGTGTCACACATAAGAATACAACTTTCATTTTATTCTAAGTCAACTAATACAGTCTGACATGATGTTAGACATGGTATGCTATAATTGATGTTTTTTATCATTGATAAATACATTTTAGAAACGTACAGTTGAATTGAATACAAAAACTGTATTTAACTGCTATGCGTCACTACATATTTACAGTGAACCATCTATTTTATATTGTGAATACATAGTTAACGACAGTGTATTATAATTGACTTTTATTTCAATAACATTTTCCTGTAAACATTAAATAAATTGTAAATAGTTAGATAGTGACAATGCATTATGATTAACTTATATTTTAATAAAAGTTTTACGTAAGTATAAATGACGCACGTTTAAGTAGAACATTCAATTCATTATAAGTGGACTGAAACACTGGTAGTTTTTGGACACAGTATGCAATAATCGTAGGCTGAGTAATAAAATATTCATTTAAACCTTATGTAAGGAACTTATAAATTTCAGTATTTAAAGTATAATGTACATATGTAGAGTTCATTATTAAATATATTGTGTATAGATATTGTATTATGGGCTAATTGAATATATTTAGTGATCTGTAAAAGTGAATATTAATTAGAGTTTATTATTATAAAATATTATAGTACCAGATATTAAGTATGTATCATAATATATGACAAACACCGAATTGTTATCAAAAATTTTCATCACTTGGTCTTTGGACTAGTTAACTTGAAAAATAAACTCTGTCATTCTAATCTTATAGACCAAGCCTATCAGTAGCCTTGAACATCAAACACTTTGGACTATCATGCTTTATTTCTTCGAACTGGTACATTTTCATCAAACTCTGCTCTGCTTCTACATTGTAACACAATCAGCACTTACTTTGCACCTTTACTAGACATGGTCAACTCAGAATTGACCTTTGTCATTCTGAGCAGATGATTTTCTAACTTCTAACTGTGTGTTGGTGACGTCAGGATATCTAAAGTACTGTAAAATAAAGCTTTACATGTTTGGTCTTTCTTCTTACAATAACACTCTATGTGCTATGAAGTAATGTTAAACAGTATCAAGGTTTGACATCAGATACCAGTTTATTAGTCATATAATAGAAATAGCATGTAGAAATTTGTATGTGTGTTTCGTGATTGTATGCTTTCATTGACGCAAATATCAAAGATATTTTGTGGACTGCTTTTGAACACGTTACTTCACTAAATGTGGTCCTCAAGGATTTATGGTTAGTGTTGTTATTCTCTTATAGTAAATAATCATGTGTAGTAAAATGTAAGTTGTAATTTTATTCAAACATGTTACGTTAAATAACGTATTTTACAACTTGTAGAAGTATTATCACAGTATATTTGTCAAACTCTTACCGTAATATGGGTAATTAAGTATATACATATGTGAAAGTCCGCCTTTGTAAGACATGAGATAAAGTAACACATATAAATTATTTTGTCACAAACTAGTAAAAACGTTATTACATAATAAACGATTTACTGACGATGTAAAATGTTGTATAAAGTCAAAGTTTTAATTATTGCATGATATCGCATTCTTAGGGCGGTTTAAACCTACAGACATGTATTATGTGCGTAGTAAAATATATGTTGTGATCATGTTACGTTAAATAATATTTTGACATTTTATTATATTCATGTCATTGAAAATACTTGATTGAGAAAGATATAGTCCATATAGGACAAGAAATTTAATTAACTGATCAATTAGCGTCATGCATCCTTTTTAGGACGAATTAATTATAAATTATTTAAATAATTAGTGATTAATTATATTCTTGTTGAGACATGTATTGTATGAGTCACCGCTGCCTAGAAACACGTTCTATACTTTGTGGTAGGATGACTTAATTATTAATTAACGAATTAGTGTTCACTGTCCTTTTTAGGATTAACTAATTAATTAGCGTTAAGCGTCCTTTTAAGGACGAATTGAATATAAAAGATTTAATTGTTTGTAGTTATGCACAAAGCTACATAATGGGCTATTTGTGCTCTGCCCATCACGGGTATCGAAACCCGGTTTCTAGCGTTGTAAGTCCGCAGACATACCGCTGTGCCACTGGGGGCAAATGATTTAGTGAATTAATTTAAAATGATTTAATGAATTAGAGTTAAGCATCCTTTTTAAGATGATTTAATTAATTAATGATTAATTACCGACATGATTAGACATGTATTGCATGAGTCATGGCCGACTGTCATGGCGGCCTAGACACACATTCTCTACTTTGTGGTACTATTACGTAACCATCCATTATGGCTGCCTGTCTGGTATTGAACTATAATTTCAACCCTCCATAACTTAGTTGCGTCATCTGGTGACACTTTGTTGAATTATGACATCATGGCCACTTGCCATGGCAGCCTAGCAACGCCTCCCTAACGACGCGCCCCTGGTGGCAAAACTTAGTAGCATGACCTCGTCATCATTGGCGGCGCTCTTTGGCGACCAAAATTGGAACTATGACCTCATCATCTTTGACACCCCTCCCCTCTCTCTCTACACACATGTGGCGCCCTCTGACGGCGTGACTGACAAGAGGGGGACTTACTATTCTTATCACTCTACTTCTTTAACAGAACTCCTACGTCTGGTGTCCCAATCATTCCTTTCTTGTATCGAAAAGGATACTAGTGTTACTTTGGACATATGATTAAATTTGAGGGTAGGTTGGTAGAGATTTTGATGAGTAAAATAGAATCGGGTATACTCGCGCCCCACACTTGCCATTGCTGTCGCACAAAAACATAGCTAATAAAAAGGAAACATACAAGTATAATAAAAAAGTGAATTTTATAAAGACAAATAGGGATCAATATATACGTAACCTAGCTAGTTATAGTGATATAAGTAGGAAAAAATTATAATATAAAGTAGGGATCGTTGGTTATTCGTAGAATTGTTATAACAAGTATCGCTCCCCCCCCCCCCAGTGGCACAGCGATATGTCTGCGGACTTACAACGCTAGAAACCGGGTTTCGATACCCGTGGCTGGCAGAGCACAGATTGTAGCTTTGTGCTTAATTCAAAACAAACAAACAAGTATCCAAAGCGAAATAAATGCTATAATTAAAAGTACAGGGAAGAAGAGGAATAATAAGTAAGTAGGCAGGCAGGTAGAGGAAAAATGGGTAAGTAGCCTTAATCAAACGTACGTGATATAGAAACACAGACCAATGATATATATACAAACAGAATAAACAATACACTAGATAAACAATGCTAAAGACAACGATAAAAATGCAGTTCTTGCTTATAGATCATCAACAAAGGCCCGAGTACCATCCAACAAGCAGAAGTTCACATTCTCTGGCCAGCCTATACACTGTATGGCAAACACTTACTCTACTTGATGGATCAGCCTAAGGTCAGGGGTAAAGCTCATTGCCAAGACGTGTTAGAGGTCAACACTCTTTTTTTAAAGGTTAGTGCGCTTTTAAATATTCATCTTTAAATTGGCATTTTCTCAGTAAAATGGTCCTGCAAGCTCGTAAAATTAGCATATTTTAAGTTATCTACCTAAGTTGTTCTGCATGTAATAGTGAAACTATACAGTTCTAAATATTTTAAAATTTCAACACGGACTTTTATTTCTTTAACAACCTTTTATGTCAATAATCGTCCAGGCTTTAGTTAACTGGATCATGTATTAGTGGATATTCATTTCTTCATCTTCCTGTGAAATCATGGTATTAAAAAAAGAAAAATCCACTCCACCTCCACTGTCTGAATTGATCAAGACATCTTTTTACAGCATAAATGTTTGTTTTTAACTTTCTACCTTAAAACCTCCTCACTTCTTCACTTTGATCAGTTTTTGCCAAGGAGGATAGCATATCTACAAAAGGATAACATCACTTTAATTTCTTATGTTGTAAACTGTTTTCTAGTAAAGTCTATATTTTGTATGTGTATAAAAACTACCTGAACTTTCTAGTATAGTTTTCCAATTCACCAATGGGGTACTTCCAGATTTGTGTTAATTTCTTATCAACTAGAGTATGCTGCCTTTTTATTTTCGTATCTTCTCAACTAAGAAATTGTTATGAAACACAAGTAAACAAGTAGTAGTCTTAAAAATAGCAGGAATACCACTCATCCTCTCTATCACTCTATGATTAATCATTTGAAATGTTAAAAAATATTCATGAACTCTGCAGTATTGTAAACTACTGTGTAATGTACCAAAAGACCATATATAATTAAACAACAGCAGTCATCTTTTACATATATGAGAAAGTTTGCACATTAAATAGGCCATATGTATATGAATACTTATTTATATTAACGAATGAATTAAAATTTAAAGTTAAAAGTTTGCTTGTTTGTTTTTGAATTTCGCGCAAAGCTACACGAGGGCTATCTGCGCTAGCCGTCCCTAATTTAGCAGTGTAAG